ACGAAGAATGATAAACATAAGAACTCTGAGATCCGCGCGGATTTCTCGCGCGGAGCGCGCCAGGGGCGGCGCCAGAGGCGCCGCCACGGGGCCCCAGCACCGATCCGAGAAATCCGCGCGGACCTCCGAGTTTGTATGTTTATGTCATCGTTCGTTTCCCCAGCAATGCGCTCTGTGAGTGGTTTTACCGCTCACCACAACAGAATGCAAATCACATGAACAAACTTGCTGCGGGCGGTCGCAGCTAACGGGGTGCGCAAATGGCAACCCTTGGCACCGCGGATTCTCCATGAGCCAACACAGTAAAGAAAACTCGCCGGGATCTCGCACGCACCTCTGGCAAGCCCACGTTTTGTTGGCCAGTTGGGACATTTGGTGGCCACTGGACCGCTCAAGCGCTAAGCACCTCGCTGTCCAGGGCCGCATCCCGCGAGGAGCGCGCGCCCGCGGCAACCGCTCCATGCCTGCAAATGCACAGGCGGCCGCACGCACTGCAGCCAGGTGTTTGTGCACCTGGGTGGTAAGCAAAACTAGACGGTGCAGCTCGCGGGCCTCGGAATCAATACAGCGCGCGGTAAGCTCAACTCCGCGCCTCGGCAACACATCCGCAATATCATTCCCAACAGTGACGTGCAGGGGTTGCTGGCAAAGCTGCAAGGACCTGGCGTCCAAATGCGAGAAACACTTCCTCAGCTCAACGTGCCCCCCCCCGGTCGGTGCTCCAAAACAACCTTGACGCGTCGCCACCACCGGCTGAACTGCCCACTGGGCCGTTGCACCTGGCCAGCATGCCAATCGTCATACACAACCTGGCTGTCCGTGTACATGGCGGCGTCGCCTCGAATGCCGCGGAGTGCCCACACAACCGCCGCCAATTCAGCGTTCGGCACCGTCTGCGCGCAATCCACGGTGCCGAACCATCCGGGGAGATCAGCATCAGCAACAACGTCGTGGGCCATCATCAACGCGACCCCCCAGCCAGCGCGCGCCACGAGCGCATCTATGCTGGTGGTCGACCCGTCCAAATAGATCTCCGAGCAACTGAATCTGGATGCCTCTATGGCACCACCGTGCTCCTCCCAGACGGGCGCGGCGCAGTCCACGGCGAAACACTGTTGCTCGCCAGAGTCCCACTGCGGGGGAGGCGGTGCTGAACACCAGCTGGCAGGCGGAATTCCTCGTAGCCAAAAGCAAGCGTTTTGCGAGTCATTGCTCATGTTTGCAAACGCCCGCTCGCAAAGCCTCTGGGTCTTCTGGACCCACTCGCTGTCAATGTTCGCGTTCTCTGGGCACTCCCACACCCGATGGCGAATTGTTTCGGGCGCCTGCTAGCAGTGCGGGCATTTTCCATATGTCTGAAAGCCTGCATTTTTGCAGCGTTGCGCGGTCCAGACAGCGCAGACGGCAGCCGCTTCAAGAGCGCCCGCCTCCCAGACGAAGTCATTGGACCGCAGCTTCGGCAAATTGACCTTTAACATCGTCAGGTCCCCTCCCTCGGAGAGGACAGCGCGTTGGTCGTGCCTGTTGGCCTGTCGCCACAGCTGTTTGCGGACGCTCTGCGCCATCGTTTCCTGGACATCCTCATGGTCGCAATCCGCATCAGGATCCAAGTACCACTGGCGCTCGTCAGGGTCGACCCTTTCGTCGGGCTGCACGGGTTCCCACCCCAACTGCAGCAACGTCAAGATCAGAGCACCGATGGGGCCTGCAGCAGCCCGCCAGCGCCCACGAGGAAGCATGCTAGCTAGCCTCGCCCGCGTAGCTCTCCAGCCCTCGCGAAGGCGCTCGCGCAAGTCAGCGTGCCGGCGCCATGTGAGGATCCACTCCCGCACCTGCCGCTTCACCGAAGCGCACCATGGCTCTTGGTCACCGTAACAGAGCACCAAGGTGGTAGCCGCGCACCGCCCACCAATACTCTGGCCTGTCAGGTCCGCTGCGATGGATCGTTGCTTGCGCGCGTCCATGGGCGCCATTCCCATGACAGCGGTATCGTAGGCAACCTTGGCACTCAAATCCCACCAGCCCTCTGGGCGTCGGTGGTTTAGGGAGTTTCCTCTTCCACGCCTCCTTCTTCCCCTTCGGGGAGGGGCTATCACTGTATCACTGTTCCCTATTAATACACACCCCCTCCCCCAGGCGACTGGGAGCCAAGCAGGGTCAATGCGCCCTCCCCCCATCATCTTTTGTAAAAAACAATACAAAATACACTCTGCCTCCAAATTTGGAACATGCGCAGCGAACCCGATGCGGCCTCCCCCACCACACCAGTCAAAAAACGATACAGAGCACACTTGGCGGCGGCGGCGGCTGCGGCGGCTGCGGCGGGGGCAGCGGCTGCGGCGGCTGCGGCGGTGGCGGCGGCGGTGGCGGCGGCGGCAGTGGTGGCGGCAGCGGCTGCGGCGGCAGCGGCTGCGGCGGCGGCGATTCGGCAGCGGGGGCGACGGCGGCGGCGGCTGCGGCTGCGGCGGCGGCGCGGCGGCGGCGGTTGCGGACGGCGACGGCGGGCCGCGCGGCGGCGGCGGCGGCGGACAGCGGCGGCGGCGGCGGCGGCGGCGCGGCGGTGGCGGCGGCGGGCGGCGGCGGCGGCGGAGGCAGCGGCGGCGGCGGCGGATTCGCCCCCAATAGCTGCCCATCCAAAGACGACTGCTGAATATGCTGCGGCTCGGGCCAGGCTCGGGTGCTACGTATGTGTTGGGATGGCGGGTGGGAGTGAGCGAGACGGCTTGCGGGCGGGGAGGGAGTCTTGCCCCTTCCCCCGACCCCCTCCCCTGGACCTGGACGGGGGGTCTCGCGAGGTGTCAGGACGTCCAAAACGGCCTCGGCGAGGAAGCCAAAATCATTGGTTTTACAAAGGTTTTGGCCCCATGTTGGCCTCCTGGGGGTGACCCTACTTAAAGCTCCCCTCTTGTTTGATCGATCTCCTCCAAGATGGCCCCAAGAAGCCCAAGATGGCCCCAAGATGGCCCCAAGAGGCCCCAAGAGACCCCCAGGAGGCCCCCAAGAGACCCCCAAGAGGCCCCAAGAGACCCCCCAGGGGCACCCAAGATGCTCCAAGAGGCCTCGGCGAGAATGCCAAAACGGCCTCGGCGAGGAAGCCAAAATCAGTGGTTTTGCTACGGTGTTGGCCCCATTTTGGCCTCCTGGGGGGGGGGACGTTAATTAGTGCTCCCCTCTTGTTTGATCGATCTCCTCCAAGATGGCCCTAAGAAGCGCCCAGCAGGCCACAAGAGGTCCCAAGATGGCCCCAGGATGGCCCCAAGAGGCCCCAAGAGGCCCCCAGGAGACCCCCAGGAGGCCCCCAAGAGGCCCCCCAGAGGCACCCAAGATGCTCCAAGAGGCCTCGGCGAGAATGCCAAATCATTGATTCTACGATGGTTTTAGCCACATGTTGGCCTCTTGGGGGGGGGGGCACTGATTGAGATCAAGAGCGCCTGGGAGAGCCCAAAATGACCTCCAAGATGGCTCAAGATATCCCAAGATGTCTCATGATGGCTTCCTCTGTGTGCTGCCCACTTCCCTGATCGAGGCAATTCCTCTGGGCGTCGTTTCTGGATGGGCCGGCGGTGATTCGCGAAGCGTCAACAAGATGTGTCATGCAGCTGCAAACAAGCGTGCACGACGGGCCCGGAGCGTCGTGCACCGCCAACGCTTGGCCGCAGTGTCGCGCCGGCGCCGACGTCCCAGCGCAGCGTCAATACCAAGGTCACGCACGGCAGTGGCCCTGCATCTGAAGCCTCCGTTGTGAGAAGCTTCGCCTTCTTGGGAGCCTGGAGGTTGTCATCCGGGCAGCCCGTCACGATCTCCTCCGCCGCTGCACCCGGGAGGGGGGCCACTTGTCCTGCGGGGGCCTCCACGCGAACCACGATGTCGTCCACGAACTTCACGGTCCAAGATGTAGTATAACATCACCCTGGCCCAACTGTTCGCGCTGAAGCACCCCGCCACGAGGCCATTGAATGGGACGATGCTCTGTGCAAAAGCGCCATTCGCCTTGACCACCCTGGGGCCTAATAAGATCAACGTGTACATCATGAACTCCACCGCCGGCACCTCGCACTGGATGCCCTTGTCAATGAGTTTGGCCGGGTCCACAGAGTCGTAGAACTTCTCCAGGTCCAAGAAGAACTCGCCAAATGACACGTCGCCCACAGCCGCGCAAGTCTCATCCAGGGCCATCGTCACGAGTGCCGACTGCAGCGCGGACGATCCAGCGACCACGGCATCCCAAAATCCCGCTCGGACCTCGCACCATTCGGTCATGTTGGTGCGAGACATCTTGCCCCACACTCTGATCGGCATTGGCAGTAAGCCGATGGGGCGCTCCTCAACTGGCTCGTCCAGCAGCGCCTTGGCCAGTAGAGCGTACCAGTCGTGCAGCACCTGGTGGGGCCACACCAACGCCTGCTCCGCCTGGTTGAGAAAATTAGCGAGCCCTTGCTTCGCCATCGGGCATACTGCTTTCAAATGAATCGGGCGCCACTGGTCATTACCTTGCCCCGTGCACTCTGGCAGTGCCCGCACGGCAACGTCAACCGTCTCCACTGAGTGCAACGGCGCTCATTGAGGGCTTCGCGCGCCTGGCGCAGCGGGAAAAAAAGAAGCACGAAGAAGGGGAAAAAAACAATGGGCCCGCAAGGGCACAGAGTATGCGCCAGCCAGGCGGGGAAGTCCCTCTCCTTCTCACCCCCTCCTACTCATGTACCCCAAACCCTTCCCAGATCAAGACCCTCACCGGACTCCACCTCAAACACCCCGAACTGAAGATAGCCAGTGATTCCGAAAAACGCGTGCAGTCCATGTCGCTCCAGGGCTGCTCAATATCGCGTGCGCGCAGGAGGATATAACTTCGCGTGGCATCGAATCCAATCGCTGCCTCCCCAAGAGCTCAACACATGAAAAAGCCGCTCTTCAGTCAAAAGACAGCTTTAAGACAGTCTCCAAGTACACCGCCCCATAACATCCGCAGAAGCACTACCAAAACAAACATTGCAGCCGATGTCGTTCCCTGGCTGCTTGGTCGCGCGTGCACGCGCGAGGTTAAATGCCTCGCACGGCCTAGACCTTCCCCCCCACCCGTCCACTCGCCACCTCTGGCTCCTCCGCACCCTCACCATCATCACGCCGAAAATGACAGGCGCGAAGGATCCTTCCTCAGCCTGGCTGCCTGGGCGAGGGCCCAGGCGCAGTGGCCACGCGCCTTGAGTGTTCACCACCAGCAGGGAAGTGGGCGCGGACCGAGGAGCGGGGCTACACACTCGCCGCCGGTCGTCCCGGGCGCCGCTGCGCGGGGACGTGCACCACAACATCCACGCGCTCGGCCCACAACGGGATGCAGAAAAAGCAACCGAGCACTGGCAATGAATGCCGTCTAGAGGTAGAGGACAAAGAACTATGCACATACACCGATTTTGGCCAGGCCCATCCTGAGCCCAGGATCGGTGCATACGGCTGCTACCTTGGCCAGGAAGGTATATGCACCGATCCTGGGTCAAGGACGGGCCTTGCCAGGATCGGTGCATGTGTATAGTTCTCTTCGCCCGACCCACCTCCTCCTTCCAGTCGCTCGGCCTATTCGAGACAGTGTTGGGCCGATGCCCTCCGGCGGCGCTGGCCTCGCGACAGAGCCCCCCGCCATGCCCGCCACCCGTCACTCCGACCCCATCCCGCCCAAACCACACGACACAAGCGTCTCTTATCATAGTGCGTGCTGCGAGGTAGGGCACCATCATACACGACGGCACGACGAGAAAAAAAGAAGAACCGAAATACCCCTTGAAGCACTCATCGCCCCAACCCCGCCATAAGGCCGGCACGGTGGACCCATGGAGACCAGAAGAATGGTGCCTTGCTTGCAGATGAGGATAGGAGAGAAGATACAACCATAAGGTGATATTGATTAAGGTGGCGCAACGAACGATCGACCTGTCTCCCCGTGCCAGCTGTGAAACGCTGAATGTAAAATGTCGGCATTTTACGTACACGCTGCGTAGGTTTGTTCCATGTCAGACACGAAGACACTGACAGAACTGAGATTATGCGCGTCCACCTTCGCTTCGCAGTACATGCAAAGCAAATTGTACACGTTGGCCCCTTCCTTCTTGGATCATGCCCATGGCTTGGCGGCACCAAGTGTGCAAAATGTCAAAAAGGTCGTCGACTTCATCACGCATCTCGCCGTACGCGTCGAGCAAATAGTGGTAAGCCAGCTATGGGGATG